GGGCCGCGCGGGGGAGCGCGGGCCCCCGCGGGGGCATTTCCATGCACCCGCCAGGTGCTCGGGGCTGGCCTGGCACCGGGCGCATGGCGGGGGGAGCGCCGGCCCCGGGCATGCAGCTATGGGGGGGGCCGCCCCCGGGCATGCGGCTATGGGGGGGGCCGCCCCCGGGGCGCAAGTGTCCCCGCCCCCTGGCGCCCAGCAGGCGAACGGCCACGCCCCCTGGCGCCCGGCAACCTCAAATGGTTGGGGACCACTGGCTTAGAGTAAAGAGAAGCAAATTTTAAGTTAGTCTGTATTTGTATTTGACTTTCAGCTCCTTGTACTAACAGTTACTGTTTATAAAGAGAGGTAGCAGGAAATAACTCAGAAATAACACATTTTCCTAAAATGTTGCAATCCTCTTTAGAAAGACTGTGGTTAGGGAAAGGGGAAGAACAGACAAAAGTGAATTTAACCCTCTGTGTTAAATTTGAGTTTCCATACTTGCAAAATAATTGATGCAGGAGATTTTTACCTGAAAGAGAAAGGTAGAAATATTCTCTTCTGTTTAACAAAGACCACAACTGTGATTTTTACGGCTGCTATACAAGCTGACTGGTCAATGCATTTATTAACGCACTCATCACTGTAGCATTGGAGTCCTTTAAATCAAACTGAAGTCCTTAAAGCATATTAGAAGGAACCCCGAAACTAGATGTTCAAGAGAGAACAATAATGAGCTAAACTATATGTTTATATATGTCTAAGGCTTTTTTGTAGGGACTTTGGAGTGGCTCTTCTGTTCCTGATAACTGAAATGTACTATGGAACATGATCAAGAACCTGAAGAGTGCCTTGTGCAAACCCAGATGTACTGTGTGAAGAGACCTGTATATAACCAAGAATTGTTACAAGGGCAGCTGCACAAGAAGGAAAAGACGCCTCAACCTCTTAGCCAGAAGATAGCACACTCTTGTCGGTACGGATTGTGCGTGTTTTTATGTCTTCTACAGGTTGAACCTCTCTAGTCTGGCACCCTCAGGACCTGGTTGGTGCAGAAGCAAAGAATTTGCTGAACCACAGGAAGTCAATGCTGTCTAGCAGCATTACCAACGTTGCCACTGCTTACTGGGCTCCTAGAGACATTTAGAAGTAAATTAGAACTAAATAACAGCACAGAACACTGAATCAGAACTGGGGGCCATAAGAAAATTATGGGACTGTGGGTCAAATTATGCCACACCCATGATAAGTAGACATCCGGCTAACTGAAATAATCTCGGACCACAGAGGTTGCTGGACCAGAGGGTGGCAGATTAGAGAGGTTCAACCTGTAGGACCTTTCAAATTCTTTCTTAATTGATCTGCATGCCTGATTATTCACTTATCCTAAAATAAAATAAGCAAATCAAAACTAATGGTCTGCAAGAACTTGGGAGCAAGAGGATAGGTTCTGTAATCTTTTTAATCTCCCTCTGATATAATCTGCCTCCTTTCCCTTTGTGTATTTTCAGTTGTTCTTCCAAGAAAGCCAAGTCTCATCTCTATAGTTTTTTACCGATTTTAAAATGGCTTCCCCGTTATCCAGTGAAAGCGTATTTGTTAGGAGACATAGTCTCTGGTATAAGCACTGGGGTTATGCAGCTTCCTCAAGGTGAGTAAAGGTCTGTAATTGTATTGTCTTTCTAGTGCATCATGTGTGTCTTCTTGTGGCAGTGATCTGGATGATGGTGCGTTAATGCCACAATAATGGACTTTGCTTTGCGCACACACTGCATGGAGATCACACATGAATAATCCAGCCATTGAATCATGTTACATTTCTCCCTGTAGTCAAAAGAGCCCACTACTAAATATTTGCAAAGTATGTCAGCATGTGAGTAATCCTGTTGGAGTCATGGAGTCAGAGAGACTATTCATGGTATGTTAAATGCCATGTTAATAAAAGATCTTCATTACTTCTCCCTTCACTCACCTATTCATCGAGATATTAGTGGCAGGTCCCCTCTTCTCCACAGCAATTGTACAGGTCACTGGCACCTAGCGTGTTCTGGGAATACCAATGTGTAGTGCAAGATTGGCTTGACACCTCTGTCTAGACTAGAGCAACTTCAGTGATATTAGGAGCCAGAGACTGATCCTTATCTTTTCCTTTATGACATAGTGGTTACACCTGGTTACTCCTTTTTTTCTCTCCTGTTCAGCCAGTGTAGAGTAGTAGGTGGTGATGCCTGTGTTTTGTGGAGAGAAGCTTAATGATAGGAGTGAAAATCCACTGAAATGACTTGGAAATCCTACTCCACTTCCCCTGCAAGAAAAATAAAGTATTTGTGGCAGGAACTGTCTCTTCTCTGCCCCAGAAGGGTTTTTTCGGAACGGGGAAATCCATATTTGCTGTTACACTAGCGCTGGTGCTTCAACATTAATGGGAACACTCATGTAGCCTAGACCCAGTTCACCATCTGCATTTTATCACCAGGTCTTTCAGAACCACTTGTAAAAATACTAACCTACTTCTCAATACTAGTGGCAGCAATGATCTGCACACCAATGGGATTGCTACAGTGAATTCCCTTTACTTCGGTTTGAAGTTGCGTCACTAGATCATGCTCTGCTTTTTGAATAGAGAGAAATCTTAGAATGAGTAAAAGGGTCATCTATGTCTGAGTTTTTTCCAGGTGACATCACTTCTATGTATTGTAAGAATCAAACCCTACCCTCTGGAAAAAAGCTTTTATTTCTTTTTTGATTGTGTAGTCCATTAGTTTTATGCATTTCTCAATTTAACTTAAGGATTTTTATACTGGGTGCAGACTTCTTTTTATTTTTGCAAATTTTATACAATCTGTAGTTGTAGTTGCATTTAATGATAAATGTTCAAAATATTTTAAATAAGACACTAGCTGGACAGACTATTCATGTGTGTCAGTCAAAGGCATTATATGTCTGTTATGTGTGGTAAACACCAACTATTGCACTCTTAAGGTATGTCTACACTACAGCGTTAATTCGAGTTAGCTTAATTTGAATTAACTATTTTGAAATAGCGCATTCACATTGAGTGGACCCTGAACTGAAGTTAAGGCTGGCCGGAACCAGTGCTGGCAGGGCATCTGGTTAGGATGCTGCCTGAGGCTAACTGAGCTCCGTGCTTAAAGGGACGCTACCCCCACCCCGGACAGACAGTTCTCAGGGTTCCCTGCTTGCTTGTCTACCTCGATGAGGGACAGCAAAGCAGTCCTGTCTTGAAGTGCCCTGAGTGCCCACACTCGGGACACCACAGCACTCGGCCACATGGAGCCAGAGCTGCTCCTGGGCATGCCGGTGCATCTCGTGGGGTCGTTACCATCAGACTAGCTGCTCTTGCTGCAGGCTGCCATCTGGGGGGTCCATCAGGAGGCTGTCAGGATCCAGGAGGCCATGCAGCAGAGCATCCACCCTGAGGAGCCCTCAGAGCCACCCCAGTCCTCCCCACCGGGGGCTCGTGTCCCATTCCTCCCTCACGTCCTTCCATTTTACCCCTTCCTAGTCCCCCTTCCTGTTGTCAAACAAAAGACACATATGTTCAAAAATAGAAACTGGGTTTATTGAACAAAACTGGGGGGGAGGGGGGGATGAACCTCTGGGGAGACTGGGAAAAGGAGGTGGGAGAGGGGAGGAGGGAGCTGGAAGGGGGAAGCCAGGGGAAGAAGGAGGAGGGGAAGCTTAGGGTTGAGGGTCTTGCCAGGCCAACTTGATTTTCATGCAAGCCTGCTCCTGATCTTTTTTTTTTCTGCCAAAAAACCCAGAAGTTTCTGTTTTTACTCCATTGGTATATTAGTGGGAGAAATAAGGTCAAGAGATTAAATATTGGTTGTTTCCCTGTATTTTACATGTGAGCCAAATTTGTGTTAACTTGCACTATGGTGCAACCCCAATGATCCTAGTGTGGTTGTATGAGTGTAAATCAGTAAAAATTGGCATGTATGTTTGGCAAAGGATGTAAAACAAATGTAGGATGCTTAGCTGGTAACTTCTAGTCTTTCGTTCTGTTAAGTTTCTGAGGGGATTGACATTTGAAAGCATGGTCCATTAAAATTACATACCACCTCCCCAAAACCTGTCACTGCAAGCTTCTTGTTTCCTCAGTGGGAAGTCTGGATTATGGGATCAGGCCCTAAATTTAAATGTGCAGCAACATTCTGTCCTCATGTCTCGTTGGATTTGTGACATACAGCATTTGCCATATGTATTTTAATAGCCTTTATATCATTAAGAGTTGATGGGACTTTTATATTGGAACAGATCCTTATGGTTTTTTCTAAACTCTCTGCTTGTATTTTCTAGGGTTAGCTTACGCTTTGCTGGCAGCTGTTCCCCCGGTATTTGGCTTATATTCTTCATTTTATCCTGTTTTTCTATATACATTTTTTGGGACCTCCAGACACATATCAATAGGTATCTCTCTTAATGTACCATTGAAGTGTTTCCTTTTTCAAGTAATATTTTGTAAAATAAATTAATAATGAGAAAGTTAGTGTGTTTTTCATAAAGCATGAAATTCTTACCTGCTTTCTGTAGTCTCAAACTCTGGTAGGCTAAGTTTGCTGTCCTCTAATCTGCTTATGAAAGAATAGAAGTTGAAACAGCTAGTGGCGTGGACATGAGCTTGAGCACCAGGAGCTCCCTCTTTGCTGCCAACTAGCTGTATGATCTTGAACAAATTTATTTAATTTCTCAGCATCTGTACAATAACTATTTACCTGCCACAGGAGTGTTTGTTCAAGGTATAAATCACTGTCTTGGTGCTGAGCAATGTTCCCTCTAATTTTTTGCATCCATGTGCAAAATAAACTTTATGTTCATCAAGACAATGTGCACTACCAGCAGAAAGAAGAAACCTACCCATGCAGCTCTGCTAGTCAGCTGGGTGGCATTTGAATCTCTCCTGAGGAGCTGCACAATCATACAGCTTACAGGGAACACTGGTGCTGAGTATAGGGCAAATTTCGCTACTAAAAATGCAACTTTGTTGATTGAAAATTCTAAAATAGATAGGGGACAAATGTTTAATTCCACAAAAGTGTACAAACATGAAATACTCCATTGTATAAGGAATCCCAGTGATAAGCAAGTAAAAGTTTGTCCTAAATGACGTACAGAATTTGAACCTATTTTTCCTGTCCCTTCTTTCAGGCACGTTTGCAGTGATTAGTCTGATGATTGGTGGAGTTGCTGTCAGAGAAGCTCCTGATGAAATGTTTAATATTATGGAATCTAATTCCACCAATAGCACTGATCTCCTTGAAAACTATAAAGCCAGAGATTCCATGAGGGTAAAGGTAGCCGTGGCAGTCACCTTACTTTCAGGGATCATACAGGTAACAGCTTGTTGCAAGGCAAGTTCAGGCAGTTCTCTCACAGTAAAATGCTACTTCTTATGCCCCAGCACCATTCTGTAGAATATGAGCTGCGTCATGTTAACTCTGCACCTATAATGAAGGGAGAACTTGGAAACAGCATTTCTCCTGACAGCTTTTCTTTGGCTGGGGTACATCAGAGATCTTTTTCCTCCTTCACCACTTCCACCTCCCATCTTACGAGAAACATATTTCCATTTTCCTTTAAAGCCCTCCATGAACCATAGGCTATCTGGACCCCAACTCTACCCTAATCTTGATGGCACAGAAACTCCCAGCCCCATTCAGATTGGCCTGGGTCAGTGAAAAGGTTTCTCACTGAACCTTTATTCCTGCAGAAAGGGGAAAATAGAATTTGGTTTTCAAGATTGGCTTGGATGGTTTGCTTAATGTCAACATGAGGCAGGGGACTGGACTCTCGAGGTCCCTTCCAGTCCTAGTATCTATGAACATTGACCAGAATCAGGTCTGCACTGTGTTCTCTACAGTGCTGACTTTTAAATTACAATTGAGTGCATTGGTGAGTTGCATAATTTGACCCTATTGTTCTTCAATAGTTGTCTTTAGGTCTCCTTCGATTTGGTTTTGTAGCCATCTATCTAACGGAGCCACTGGTACGAGGGTTCACTACTGCAGCAGCAGTTCACGTCTTTACCTCCCAGTTAAAGTACTTGCTTGGAATCAAGACAAAACGCTACAGTGGAGCCCTTTCAGTTCTATATGTAAGTAATTATCTTAAAAGCGCATGATCCCCAGACACCTTTCTGCAGTATACCTTTCTAGGCAGTTACCTCCCATTTTGTACTCCTATGCTTTTCACATAAACAATATATCCCGATCATCTTCAATCTCCACATCTGACAACGCTCCAGTTTAGAAAATATTCAAAAGCTCTGATTTAATTATTGTAATTTAAGTATATGCTAAACCATTGTGTATGGATCTGAAAAACACATACAGTTGAGCTATGAAGACTCAGATACCATATACACTAAGTTTTATAAATTGTCTAAATGGGCATGTCCCTTTATCAGCTGTATTGCCGTGTGCATGTTGCACATTGTGTTCTCATAAACAGGCAGATTCTAATACATTTCAACAATCGCTCCTTCTGAGGTCATGACTCCGCTTACCAGAGGATCAACGCCTCAGCAATCAATTTTTCTGGAGTTCAATTTAGTGGGTCTAGTAAAGACCCACTAAATCGAACACAGAGGCCACCTCCATTCGCTGCAAGGGTAGTAGACAGAAAGTTTCTCCCGTTGGCCTCCTGCTGTGGGGCCACCCCAGAAAATCAGTGTAAAATATATCGACTCCAACTACGCAATTGCTGTAGCTGGAATTGTGTATCTTACATCGATTTTCCTCACCAGTGTAGGTGTGGCCTGATTTTGCTGAAATTCAGTATCTGTCTCTAAGACCAGAGCAAGAAAGTCAGAGCAGAGGGGAGACAATCCTTTGGATTGGTTAATGATGGTACACCAGTAGAAAAATTGCAGCGCTTAATAGGGACAAAAGAATGTAACCATTTAAATGGTTAACCAATAAGCCAGAGCTTATCAGTTTCCATAATGGTTACACGTCAATTCCTAGGCCCACTCCTGGGGAGCAGGGCCAGCAGCTGGAAGCTGATGCACTAGTAAGCTGGCTCCCAGCATGCACTGGCTCCAGCTGTTGGCCCTGCTCTCGGGAAGCCAGCTGTCACCCCATACTATGGGTTCTGTAGTATAAAGCTTATACAGCAGAACCCACAGTGCAACCCGCTCCCCGGGAACAGGGCTCATAGCTAGGAGCCGGCTCCCAGTACGCACTGGCTACCAGCCCTGCTCCCGGGGAGGCAGCTGCACTGCAGGTTCTGCAGTATAAACTTTATACTGCAGAGCCTGCAGCGTGTAACCGTGAAGATTTTAATGGTTACACGGCCACATTATTAATGGTTTTTTAACAACCCTCTTTAAAACAACAATGGTATAATGAGCTATAGAAAATCTAAAACATTTAATTATCTATGTGTTCAAATGTAAGCAGCTTTCCAGAAACAAGGGATGTGTCATGGTAACTTTCCAGATTTGATGCTTAGGTGAACTATCAAAAAGCTCGTGGGAAATTGGCACATAAAACAGTTTAGAATAAAAAGGATAATATTTTCAAAGCATAGTGTATAACCTTCACCACCTTTTTATAAGTGAGTAGCTGCCTGCTGCAAGGCTTGAGATTTGTGTTCCTTGTGGGTTTCTTTTTGTAACTTCTTTTATTAATGCAACAGTTTAATGCTTCCTTTTAAAACATTTTTAACATTAAGAAATCTTAGGGTTTTTGGTCAGTCCAGCAGCAGTTTTGGAAGACCAGTCGTCTGACCAAAAATAATCCATTGCCATAGTAACTCACTGGGTGTGTCCAGGAACTGTTCATGCAGCTTTGAACAGATTTCACATGCTAGAAATTGCTTAAGGCTATTTAAGTTTGATTAAATTAGATATTTAAAATTATTCTCCCCCCCCCCCGTACAAACTCTGGTATTGCATCTTTTAGCTATAAAAAGGTGTACATTAATGCCACAAAGCACTTAAATATGTCCTATGTTTTGGGCCAGCACTTGCTCTAATAACATACTCCCCTTACTCAGATCTTTACTGCATAAAAAAGTAAAGTGAAGGAGTAAAAAACAACTTATACTGTCATCATGTACTAATTATCAGAATTTTATTATGTTCTGGTATTGCATCTTTTAGCTATAAAAAGGTGTACATTAATGCCACAAAGCACTTAAATATGTCCTATGTTTTGGGCCAGCACTTGCTCTAATAACATACTCCCCTTACTCAGATCTTTACTGCATAAAAAAGTAAAGTGAAGGAGTAAAAAACAACTTATACTGTCATCATGTACTAATTATCAGAATTTTATTATGTTGCAGAGTTTAATTGCTGTACTTTCAAATATCACAAAAACCAACATAGCATCCTTAGTTGTTGGATTAACATGTATTGTTTTGCTGCTGAGTGGCAAAGAAATTAATGACCGGTTTAAGAAGAAACTGCCAGCTCCTATTCCTATGGAAATCATTGTGGTAAGTCAGTTGTGAACAGTTGTATATTTTGTGCATCTACACAGAATATTTTACATATGTGAAGCATACATGGAAAAGTCCTGTGGAATTTAACAGTAAAGAAATATCCCTGCTGTATATTCTATAGATGGTTCTCAAAAGCCTATAGAAAAGACTTGATTCATAGAATCATAGGATTGGAAGAGACCTCGAGGTCACCAAGTCCAACCCCCTGCCCACAGCAGGGCCAACCCTAACTAAGTAATCCCAGCCAGAGCTTTGTCAAGCCAGGACTTAAAAACCTCTGGATAGAGATTCTACCACCTCTCCAGGTAACCCATTGCAGTGGCTCACCATCCTCATAATAATAACATAGTTTTTCCCAATATCCAACCTACATAACTTGAGACATAGCTCCTCGTTCTGACTAAGGATGTTAAATTGTAATTATCTGGCTAATCGTGTAGTCGATACCATTTGTATCGACTACATAATTACAGTGAAATCTTTGTTTATCCCGCACTCTGTTAACCAGAGAACTTTAACCAGTATTGCCCCCAGCCACAATACTGTCACATCTTCAGGCACACAGGCCTGGCTTGGTTTACTATGATTGGCTTAACAATTTTTTATTTAAGAAGTATTAATCATCTTTAACTCAGAATAGAAATGTGAGACCAACTGGTGCCTCACACTATAAAACTACCAATATTAAAAACTTGAGTTTTACTAGTATTGTCCATTGGTTTTTCCTAGGTTGATGGGACCCTCAGATAACCGGAATTTTTAGATAACAGGAACACCCTAATCCCTGAGCATGCCGGATAACACAGGTTTTACTGTAGTTAATAAGGCTCGCTCTGCAGAGCCGCAGCAGAGGTAGCTCCAGGAGCTGGCTCGAGCCCGGACTGAGCAGTCCCTCCGGGAGCCACTCATGCTATAACCCTGCATTTTAAATGGGGTTGCTGCCATGAATAGGGGCTGCTTGGCAGCAGTAGGCCTTGTCTGTGGAAGGCCCCAGCTCCCCATTGGGAACCCTGCAGATCCCCCCCGCCTCTAATAGAGGCAACGAGGGTAGAGAGGGCGGCATCATGGAGATGGTGCTGAGGGGGGAGCCAGCTTTTAAACCAGTTCCCCCCAGCACCGGCTCCTGTTCCCCTCGTCCCCCACTGCTTTTCAGAGGCAGTAAGGTGGGGAGAAAGCAAGTAGTCAATACTCCAGTCAACTAGGGATGTTAGGGTGTGTCTAGACTACAGGGTTTTTTCGAAAAAAGTGGCCTTTTTTCGAAAAAACTTCCCCTGCGTATAGACTGTTGTGTTCTTTCAAAAGTAAATTTTTTGGCCCTGGGAAACCTCGTTTTACGAGAGAGAATGCCTTTTTTCAAAAGTGCTCTTTCGAAAAAAGGTACTATGTAATGTAAACCAAGAGAGCATCCAGACTGCCTGTACTGGTTGTAGTCTAGATGCTCTTTTTCAAAAGAGGCTTTTTTGAAAGTATCTTTCGAAAAAACTTCTTTCAAAAGAGGCTTGCAGTCTAGACATAGCCTTTGTGAGTAGTTGTGCCATCCGTCACTACTAAGAACAGCTTCTCTCCATCCTATTTGGAACTTCCCTTCAGGTAGTTAAAGGCTGCTATCAAATCCCCTCACTCTTCTCTTCTGTAGACTAAACAAGCCCAAATCCCTCAGCCTCTCCTCATAAGTCATGTGTTGCAGCTCGCTAATCTTTTAGAAATTACTCTCAATACCTATTGGATTTAATATAGTACCTTACTGATTAATACCTATTAAAATCCTCTTAAGACTCTTGCATAAAGGTACGTCTGGAGATTCCAAAGGCAGCAATGTATGAACAATACAGAACAAACTCTTCTTACAGTTAGTGGGAGTTGAATATTAGACTATCATTGGAATGGTAGTTTTGACCACGTAGATTTGCAGTGAAGTCTTAGATTTGACACTGACTTCAATGTTAAAATAATTTGTGTACTGTATATATGTATCTTCATGGCCTTGATTTACAAAAAAAAATTATATTTTTCTACCTTAATGTTTCTAAACACCATTCCAATCAGGGCCAAAGCACTGTATGGAAGAAAATACAGGCAGTCCCCGGGTTACGTACAAGTTAGGGACTGTAGGTTTGTTCTTAAGTTGAATTTGTATGTAAGTCGGAACTGGTACATATTGTAGGGGAAACTCTAGCCAAACATTTCTCCAGAGCTCAGTTTTATTCTCCCACACCTCACTTCCCTCAGCCCTTTATTCTCAAGCTGAAGTGTCTGCTGAGAAAAGCCGCTCCGCGTCTCCCTGGTCTGCTGGGAGGGGTTAGGGACTGTAGGTTTGTTCTTAAGTTGAATTTGTATGTAAGTCGGAACTGGTACATATTGTAGGGGAAACTCTAGCCAAACATTTCTCCAGAGCTCAGTTTTATTCTCCCACACCTCACTTCCCTCAGCCCTTTATTCTCAAGCTGAAGTGTCTGCTGAGAAAAGCCGCTCCGCGTCTCCCTGGTCTGCTGGGAGGGGCGCTAGCTTCGCGTCTCCCTGGTTTGCTGGGGGGAAGCAGCTAGTGCGGAGTTGCCTCACGTTCAAATAAGTTGTTTCTGGTCCTCCCAAAACCCCCAGTGCCAGCTTTAGCAAAGCCTTTGATATAGTCACCCACAATATTCTTGCCAGCGAGTTAAGTAATATGGATTGGATAAAGGGACTGTAAGACAGACAGAAAGCTGGCTACACCAGGAGGGAAAAACTGGTTCGGATGGAGGGGAACCCACCTCCCCTTCCAAGGCAGATCTTCAAATACAAGCAATTATGAAGCAGTTTATATACTGTCTATAAATATAATAACAATTAATCTCCTTCCCATAACTGTTAGCCATTGGGGTTTGTAATTTAGTTCCACCCAGATGCTCCTTATCTCAAGGTCCCTGCCAGAGTCAGCATTCTATCCTTATCTCCGTATGGAGGCGAGAGGCAAAGGCAGTGTCTAATTACAGATCTCGCGTTGTCAGGCCACAGACTTAGCCTGACTCTTGCTCTCTTGTTAACAAGACCAAGATGGCTGCACACAAATTCCCTTATTCCCTTTTCCTGCTTCCACAGCTGAACTAAATCCATTTTATGGAAGAAGATCCATCAGCCTTTGCCCTTTTTGACCGAGAATTTTATATTGGACTGGTTCAAGCCACATTTTTTCATTGGGTTGTTTCTCATCTCCAGGACTGCCTGTGTTTAACGTTGGGGGCCTTATTTGTGAAATGGGGGTAATACAGCCTAACCAACTTGACAAAGTGCTCTCAGTTGCATGATAAGTGCTTGTGTTAGTAAACATCTTTTTAGTGTCTCCTTGGATTTTTTTTCTTTGCTCATGAACCCTAATATTGCAATGTCCAGGATTTGACTATGCAGTGGGAGCCTGACGGAGAGATGTGAGACTGTACATCTGGATGCCCCACTCAAATTTTGTGTAAAGATAGAGGAGCTTAAGAAAGGGAATGTGAGGCAGAGGGGAAAACTTCCTTTTCCTCCATGGTTGTGTGAACCTCAGGAAGCTAATGGACTAAGAATTTCCATCACATCCCATGAATGTCTATTCCTAGCATTGGTTTTAACTGAAGTTTCCCCCTTAGATTGCACTTTGTCTTTTTCAGCCTTTTTTTTTTAAAGTGTGTGAGCACATCTAAATAATGTGGTCTTCTAAACAAGTTTACGCATGTGTTCTTTAGGTAATAATAGCTACTGGAGTTTCAGCTGGAATGAATCTGTCCAGTACATATGAAGTGGATGTTGTTGGGCATATCCCTACAGGGTAAGGCCAGTAAATGTAGCATATCCTTATTCAGGCTATACTCTTTTTTTTTTCCAGAGTGGTGGGCATGCTGCTATAGTAACTCTTTTTTTTTTTTTAATCATTTCATCTTTTAGATTACTTGCTCCCACGGGACCTGATATAACTCTCATCCCAGCAGTATTTATAGATGCATTAGCAATAGCAATTGTTGGCTTTTCCATGACTATATCAATGGCCAAAATCTTTGCACTTAAACATGGGTACACTATTGATGGAAATCAGGTAACCTAGATTTGGATTTTTTTTTAATATGTTGGCCCATGAAAATGTAAACCCTAAGAACCTGCTCTTATGCCATCAAAAGTCAGTGGTGGTCTTTTTGCAGAATTAGTAGCTGTCAGATCAATCTACAAGGTGTGTCAAGGATGGGGCCACAGCACTGCAGAATTTCTGGGCAGTGCTGAGCTCTATAGGGTAGCCCAGGACAGTGTTTCTTAAACTTTGAGACCACGGAACACCAAACAATAATAATTTTTTATGTGGAACACCTATGAAAATTTTCTTCAAAAAAAAACTTGTCAGACAAAAAAAGACAAAAACAAAGAAGAGATTGCAGTACACCTGCAAGTTGTTCACGGAACACCAGTGTTCTGTGGAACACAATTTAAGAAACACTGCTCTAGGAGATTGCTGTAACTTAGCCTCCCTATCACCAGGCTGTCTAGATTACACTGGGGCCTTGCCAGCCACAGACTAGCCCAGGATTGGGAGAGCACAAAGATGCCTTATCAACATCACGTAGACTGCAAGTTCAGTGCTGAGCCCCTTAGAGACCAGCACAGAATCCAACCTTTGTTATCATCTGCCTGCTCCCTCTTGCTGTTAGTTGTTTATGGTAAAACCTTCAGAACTGACAGGAGAGGGTTGTTAAAAGAGGTATCCAGCCTCTGGAGCAGACTCCCTTTGACAGTCCACCCGAGTCCTAAGTGAACTTCTGTCCGCATTCAAGTTGGTGAGTTTTGCTGCTGACTTCCCTGGGACCAGGATCCTCCCCTAGTCTGCAAGCTTTGGAGCACAATACCAGGCTTCTGTATTTGGACAAGCAAGAAAGATTTTGACCATCACCATGGTGGTCCCTGTCCTGCACCCATTGAAGTCACTGTGAGCTCCACTACTGACTTTGGGAACAGGATTGAACCCATCAATTTGTTTTCTTTTACCTGGAGAGACGTTGGCCCTAATTCTGTGCTGTTAACTAGCACAGTTCCCTGGACTTCTGTGACGCTATACCCATTTACTCCAGCTAGAGATGTACCCCCCGGATCATATTTGTTTTGTATGTCATGTGAAATGCTCCATAGGTGAAGTAGGATGTCTTAAATATACATTTGCTTTTATATAGATGGCTGCATTTCTGTGAAGCAATTACTCTGTGGCGTGTGTGTGTTGTGTACACACACAGTAATTGCTTCACCCACCACAGGAATGCAGCCATCTCCGGGGTAACACATAACAGTTTTTAATTACGCACAGCACTGCTAAATAACTAGTATAGAGGAAGATGTTGCATATAATTTGACTACTTGAATCATAAAGTTAACCCCAAATTCAGCCTGAAAATGAACAACTTTTATATAATTCTGTATGTTTTACATTTCAGAATTCAACCCATAAATCATTGCTGTGGAAAGATGGGAAAACAGTCCCACCACATCACCAAATACTTTGTTTAATGTATGATTCAATATGAGCCAACTAGTGTGTGCAATGCTAGCACAGGTTATAATGCCTGTTAGGAAATTATGTAAATTTAGAAATAGCTGTTAAAGTAATGTGGAGAAGTAGCCTCCATCTATATTTATGGAATTGTTCTGCATTATTCTTTTGATTTTGATTTCTCCTATGAAACAGGAACTTATTGCCTTGGGAATATGTAATTCTGCAGGATCCTTCTTCCAAACCTTTGCAGTCACTTGCTCAATGTCTCGGAGTCTTGTTCAAGAGAGTACTGGCGGGAAAACTCAGGTGTGTCAATCCCAATGTTTAGGCTAGGTGACATTTACTTTTGGGAGTCCAGATTTTGGACTCTGTTGCTTGCTAAGATGTTCCTATCGTCTGACCTCTGATTGATCCAGAGAAAGTGAACAGCATGTTTCATGGTATTCTAGTCTAGCCCAGGCCAAAGTGGAAGCACAGAGTATGTGTCAATATAAAACCAATAAGAGGAAGAAAAGGATCAGAAAATCATTGAACCGCCCGTATTTCCAGAAACACAGATCACGTTAACCAGTAATGTTTGTTCTGTGATGTGTTGCCTTGGACTATTTTTATTCTTCAGCAATGTTATTTCTTGTACCTTTTTGTTCAGATTGCAGGTACGCTATCCTCAATCATGGTTCTGTTAGTCATTGTGGCTATTGGTTACCTCTTTGAACCCCTACCACAGGTATGGGAACATTGCCCAAATAGTTAGTGTGTGTGTGTGTGTGTGTGCGCGTGTGCGCGCGCGCGCGCGCAAAAGTCAACATGCTTTGCTTAGCTATCACAAAATCTGTATCTAAATGAGATACAATAGCTTGGGGCCCTGTCCTGCAAAGACGTGCCCATAATACCCACTGAGGTCAGTGGGACTGAGGAGGGCACTTGACACCTTCCAGGATTAGGCCCTTGAGCTTAAGTTACATTAGAAAGTGGAGGATAGCAAAGGAGTCAAAGCGCTCATCTGACGCTTAATGCTAACCCTGTTAGACATTTTGTTTCTCCAAAGAAACGAAAGTAAGATCTCCCTATATTTCCATACTGTATAGAGTTGAGAACTCTTGAATGGGATGTCAAGGGAGAGAGGCTATTAAAATGGATCAGTGGGGAAAGAAATTATGATAATTAAACAAATACAGTATAAATGTGTGTGCTGATTTTAATGTATTAAATACATTGAAATATGTTTCTAGTGGCATGTATGTGGGATACTGTGCCTATTAAAGCTTTAGGGATTGCACGTTATCTTAATGGATAACCTGAAAGTTGCTATGTAAAGGGAATGTGCATCTAACAGGCTTGCAGGTGGGTTCCCATCAATGAAACAAAGTGCATAGATGTGTCCATTTTAATGATGTCTTGGAAAGCTATTTGAGTGACCTAGTTTTCAAGGGTAATCTAGCACTGTCATTAAATTTGTTCCTAGACTGTGTTAGCTGCTATCGTAATGGTGAATCTGAAAGGAATGTTTAAACAGTTTGGGGATATAACACATTTCTGGAAAACAAGTAAGATTGAATTGGTAAGTAAAAATGTATATCATAGTGTACATTAATTCAGTTTATTCTGGGGTTTTTTAAGCAACAGTTCAGCATTTCCCGAGAATCCACATGTGTAGAAACTTTCCAGGCAGTTCTAAGTGTATTGTTGTATCAGATGAAGTTTTGGCGCGAGAGTCCAGGTACACCAGGAAAATAACCTGTTGCTGACAGCAGTTGTGAACAGCAGCAGATTGCTGCTCAGCTACTGTTGTTGAAAGTGATTTGGAAGCAGGACTCTTGAGAGAACCTACTAGATATCTGGCTGAACATGCAAAACCTTTGGTCCTACAGGTGGCCCTACGTAACATGAAAAAGAAATCCCTTTGCTTTCTTCTTTCTTGCCAAGGAAAGGTTAGCTAGACATGGACCAAGAATGACATGCAAGAGGGTTTACTTACTGTTGGTGATTCCATGGTTAAGTTGTTACGTGGTTCACTGTTGGGGCTTACAGCAATGGCTGCTGGGGTAGTGCCCTGTTTGTCTATGGAGGGAACTGAAAATGTGTCCAAGACCATATGAACCATAGAAATACCAGCAGGTAAACAGTGCTTGTGGGGTGGGAAGTGTGGTTGCAATACTGAGTAGCAGACACTTCTCATGTCAGGTTGCCACTCTGTGACACTTAGATCACCCTGTACCTCGTGGTTTGATTAGATTATTTTTTTTATTATGCTGTCATTTTAGACCCTTTCCTGAACTTGAGTCTGTATCTGTGTGGAGTCTGGGTACCAAGGTCTTTCTTAATGAGCTGGTGTTGCCATGTCATTTCAAGTTATGATCAGTACCAATTACTGTTTTATGCCTGGGCCTATTACCAATTAATGTTTTGCACTCTCAGCTCTGTTTATGCCAAGTTCTGTGAGCAGGGGTCTGCCTGTTGCTCAAAGCGTAGCTTTGCTTTGTTAGCCATGTTTTGTCCATTGTTAGCACAGGTCTGGTCGGAGGCGTAGCTACATGGGCTTATATTTTAGGCCTTCATCTTACTACATGGCCCAGAAAAAATATATGGTTAATGCTCTTTTTACAATTCCCATGTCAAATTATAAAACACTCCAGCATATCTGCCTCATAGGGTATTGCCCTGCATTACATCAAGGAGAAATGTTAGCGTGACTT